CTCAGCTAGTCAAAATTGCTAGTACTAAACAAATAACTGATACCCAAGCTCGTTATATTATTAACACAGTTATTACTTCCACTATAGAATATAGACTTCACAATATTGTTCTAAATTAATCAACATGTGACAAAATTTCTAAACAACAATGTTACTAAAGCGCAGGCAATTAAAACTATAACTACATTGCAACAGCCCAACTCAACCCAAACTATCTCGAACGAAGACAAAGTTTCAGCAAACAACACCATGGAAGTTAACCAAGCTACAACAGATACCATAACAGACACAGTGACATCACTATCACAACAAACCGACTTGGAAGACCATCGATCCAACATTCCCACTGTACTTCCTAATGTAATCGATGCAATAATGACTGAAATTCCTTGAGTTACCCCTAACTCAGAAGGACCTGACCCTCATGACTCTAATATTACACATAAAAAATTAAATAAATGAAGATGCACACACAAGCAATCATACAGTCAAGTAGCTTCACGATTAAAACCAAGCAATCTAAAAGACAGAGCAGATAACCTTTGGGTCAATGAAATAGTTAATAAACTGGAAAAAAAGAAAGCCAAGTATTCGACCACAATCTTTGGGACAATACTAAAATACTCCAAGCTTTATAAGACAAATTATTATTTAGTCAATTTATTCATCACAAAGCCCAGACAGTAATACCAACTATCAGCATCCCTAAAGCAATAGCCAATAAATTGAAATATAGAGATACAGCATTCTTTAAATCATTCTCCTGAGACAAAAGTACTCAACCAGATTACCAAAAAGAATTCAACACTCTCATGAATATAGCAATAGAGAAATATAAATGTAAATACAACACTACCATAATCAATAAGAATAACAGAGATCAAATTTATGATAAACTGAGGAAAAAAAATAGCCATAGACGGCATCCTTACACTAAACCTCAATCTACTGGGAGATCACGTTAGCACTCAGTACATATTTTACTTAATCAATTTCAGCAAAATTGAAACAAAAATTGAATTCAAACAAGCACGAAATATAATCAGTAAAGCCCAACTATCCAATTGCATTGACTTACCAGACAAACCTCAAGATAGCAATTGATTTATCAGAAATTATTCTATTTAATTTACCTATCAAAGACAATAGTAAAACCACAGACATAGTTAGGGCCTTATGCCTAATATTATGAGTCCAGAATCTACCTGACTCCTACTTTATTAATGCAAAAATCTATTACCTTGCCAACTGAGTTTACTGAACGATGCAGTAAAACATGTGTTTTCATTAAAAGACCGCAGTAAACTACAATACCTATCCGATTATAGACACGAATTGAATAAATACTATCCCTTAATTGGTAGAGATTTGCAGACAAATTTGCCTGCATAATTACTATAAATATGTCTCTGATCTACTTTTT